GATTGGGAGAAGATCTTCACTAGCCATACAATGGACAAGGGTCTTTTTTAAATGTTAGTATTTTTATATACATTTGAGTAGCCATGTTGAATAAAAGAAGTTATATTTAATGCAATCTTTTAAAATCATTTATTCCTGTAAATAGAAATCAACAGAAGAAATCAGTTATGAAAAACATGTCCTATAAAAAGGTAACATTACTGAAAGATTATAGAAATCCCAAGCTAAACAAAAATATTACTGTTACCACTGACCCTCACCTAGAGACAGTCATTTAAACTAGAAGTATACTTCCCTACTCGGCTGAGTAGTCTTCCCTACCCCTTCTGGACTGTTGCCAGGGTTTGTGATGAATACATCTTGGTGATTTGGTAAGAATCTTATTTCTATGGGACTTAGATTCTTTCATTGCTGATCTACTCATTCATTCTGGACGATGTCCCTAGGCACCTAAAAAAGAAAGCTTTTGAGATTGTCTGAGATGAAAAGCATTGAAATACTCTGACCTTCTAATTTGATAATTAAGGAAACAATGCCATTTCCTCTCTGGCTAACCCTCTGGTGCTTCCTTATATTTTCATTACTTCATTTGTGAAAATGCTTTCATTCCAAAAATGGGGAAAAATTGAAACAGATGCCATACATTGTTAATTGGACTTGGGTTTACAGAGTTCAGTTTGAGAATATGTTTCAGACTAGGATAGATTTGTTCCTTCTCCTTACTTGCACACAGACATGAAGATGCTGCCAGTGGACCAGTGCACATGTAAATAAAAACACATTGTATTGGAATAAGGAAAAAGCAGAAACAATGTAAAAGGGTCAATAGATGGTGGAGGGGGGGAAGAAAATGGATAGGAAATAAGAACATTGGCTGGGGGAAATTGCTGAAGCATCTATTTAATAAGCACAAAACACTAAATTCAACTCCCAGTTCTTAAAAAAAGAAAACTTAGAGAATTCTAAGCATAAGAGAAACATTCTATAGGATTCTACAATATCTATAGGATATTGTATTTGTAAACATTCATCAACATTATATTAAGACATTCAAATTCAGACACATGCCATTTGATTTCTTGAAAATTTGTGCAATTATAGCATAATGCTGGAATGACCATATTCAATACATCTATCAAACTGAGCAACTTGGGTGCTTGCAAAAACCCAGTGCTTGGGTGGTGTGAGAGGCCAGGCATGAATGAGTGCAGTCAATTGTGAAAGATACGCATGTGGCCAGTTACATGAGTGCAGTTGAATGAATGGACTAATGGCAGTTCAAAATATAAGAAGTAAAAACAAAAGAATCTACAGCTGTTACCAGTAGCCCGGGCTTGCCATTGGATATCTGACATTCCTATTCCCTTTCCTGATTCCAACTATATTATGGCTATTTATCGCAAGGTTTTATCTTGTTTGCTTTGTTTGTGAAATAGCACTTTCTTAGTTACTCAAACATAAGCTAGTAGACTTCAGTGAGTCCCTGAAATAATGAATAACTTATGGTTTTTACTGAAATCTGAAACTCCAAATTGGCGATATTGGGGTGGGAGTGCAAGGGGATGTAATCTAGTTTGTTTTGACCAGACAGACAATTTGTTCTCAGCAGATAATTAACAGACTTCCTGTCTAATTTGTATTTACTTTAAACACATTACTGAACCTTGATAGCACTGAAGAGCTTGACAACTTAGATTTGTTTTTTGTTCTGAAATCTTTTACAGTTCCACCTAGTATTAAAGGAGGGAATGTTACCACTGAAATATCAGCATTGATCAACAGTGTGATTAAACTGGAATGTGAAGCGAAGGGCCTTCCAGTGCCTGTGATTACTTGGTATAAGGACGGCCAGCTGATTATATCCAACTCACAAGCACTCTATGTTGATAAAGGGCAGTTTCTTCATATTCCACAAGCGCAGGTCTCTGATTCAGCAACCTATACATGTCATGTAACCAATGTTGCTGGAACTGCAGAAAAGTCATTCCATGTTGACATCTATGGTAAGGAAAAATAGATACCCTAATGATTACCCTTCTAATGATGCTTTCTGATATGCCAACATCCTATCTGTTCATAATAAGGAATGGGTGGGATTTCTTTAAGTTGCATGGATGAGAATTGGAACATTTTGTTATGCTCTAGAAAGGTATTTATTAAAGCTAAGGTGATTAACAAGTTGTTCAGTTATTCAACAAAACTATGCCCGTGGGACTGGAAGCATCTGGACCATTAGATTCTTAAGGCGAAGGTAAGCAAGTTGTTAGGAGTGATATTATTTTCCATGATGCCTCTTTTAAGTTTGTTATCGGTACAAAGGTATTTCAATTCATCATGTCACTTTGTGAATAGAATTAATATTGATCAAGGGTATCCCTGCTACCATACTCCTACATGCCTTTCAACCTTTCCCATCACCCAATATTCCTGATGCCATTTTTCTCATATGTACATTGAATATTATGACTGCATTCACTCACCCTTCCTTTCTCTCATTTGTCCTCTTTCTCCTTGACTTTACCCACTTGCCCAACAACAACACGTTTCAGCTTCCTCCTGGCATTAATTTCATTAAAATGTAAGTTGTTCAAAGGAGGAACACCACTGGTATCTTCCTGTACATATCCATACTTTAATTAAAACATTTGCATATAGATGCATATGACCACCCAGTGTAGTTTTACACATATATTTATGATTTAGATCTCACTTCCACATATGAATGAAAACACATGCCCTTTGTCTCTCTGAGCCTGACGTACTTCACTTAACATAATTATTCAAGGTCTATCTCTATCCCTATAAATAACATAATATCAATAATACCATTTTTCCTGATGAGTAAAATTCCATCTTGTGTGTGTATAATGTGATACACACATATAAACACATACATAGCCGGGCACCAGTGGCTCATGCGTGTAATCCTAGCTACTCAGGAGGCTGAGATCTGAGGATCGTGGTTCAAAGCCAACCTGGGCAGGAAAATCCATGAGACTCTTATCTCCAATAAACCACTAGAAAACCGAAGTGGCGCTGTGGCTCAAGTGGTAGAATGCTTGCCTTGAGCTGAAGAGCACAGGGATAGTGCCCAAGTGCAGAGTTCAAGCCCCATGACTGACAAAAAACAAACAAAAGCACATACATATATGTATGTATGTATTATGTATGTATGTATACACACATTTGTCCATTGAAGGGCATCTGGGCTGTTTTCATAACTTTTCTATGTCTTTTCACAGTACAAAGTATTCCAGAATAGTTTCAATAGTTTCAAACCAGTAGAACCAAGAAATTCTTACCTCCGTAGCTTACGAGAAGATGAATACATAGCCAGTTTCTATGATCAAGCTATAGGAGAAGGAAATCTTCCCATTTTGTCATTAGGATATATATTTTATGACTGCCTAAAGAATTACCTGAAATATCACCTTTTATTTTCTGCCTAGTTCCTCCAATAATCGAAGGTGACTTGGCCACCCCTTTGAATAAGCAAGTTATCCTCACTCAGCCGTTGACCCTGGAGTGTAAAGCAGCTGGCAACCCTGCTCCTGCCATCACTTGGTTAAAAGATGGTGTACCAGTGAAAGCCAGTGACAAGATCCGCATAGAAGCTGGTGGGAAGAAACTTGAAATCTTGAGTGCCTTAGAAGTCGATCGGGGGCAATACATATGTGTGGCTACCAGTGTGGCAGGCGAAAAGGAAATCAAATATGAAGTTGATGTCTTAGGTAATTAAAAGTGTTATTGCCTGGATTCTCAGAATCACAGAAAAACCTAATTAGTGTATTGTATACTAATTTTTGTTCATGTAATATGAACCAATCTAAGATAACATGTAATTTCTAGTTCATCTCTGGACTGCACATTTCTAGGAGGTAGACTTCACATCTTGATCCATGATCTAAATCTCACATGGATCTTACACACACACACTGTGTGTGTGTGTGTGTGTGTGTGTGTGTGTGTGTGTGTGCGTGCACGTGCATGCAAATGTGTGCACACATATACATACACACACATGCCAGTCCTGAGTTCTGGGGCTTGAACTCAAGACCTGGGTGTTGTCTCTGACCACATTTTATTTTAATTTTTGCTCAAGGCTAGCACTGTACCACTCAAGCCACAGGTCTACCTCTTGCTGTTTGTCGTTAATTGGAGATAGGAGTCTTACAGACTTTCCTGCCTTAGTTGGCTTCAAACAGCAATCCTCAGACCTCACCCTCCTGAACAGCTAGGAGGCTCACAGGTGTGAGCTACCAGAGCCTAATCCTTCTACTAATTTTGCTTCCATTCTTAAATCATGACAACATCTGATTGCAGTGAGCCGCAAGCACTCATCCTGAACACTATTGGGAAACACTCTGGACATTCAGAAATTTCTTTGCAACCTTGAGTCTCTATGTCTTTGCACATTGAAGGATTTTTTTAAGTACATGACCTACTTTTGGAGGAGGAAGGGTTCCCCTGTCTTTTTCTTATGAAAACAAGTGATGTATAATATGAATTGACTATATTCGCATGGCATCAGTAACATCATAGTGCTAACTAGAGAAAAGTGTCTACTACATCCTAAGTATATGCAATGATCCTGGTTAGTGCCTGTTACAAAATGTATTTCTAATACCTATCAAACAAATTTCCTTCACATACCCAAAGACTATAGTAATTATCAACTTTCTAATCTGCTGTTTATCAGTGTTTGATGTAATGATGTGTCTTTCCTCTTTTCACGTCCATTCCTGCTATTCTGTAGTGCCACCAGCTGTAGAAGGAGGAGATGAAATATCCTACTTCATTGTTATGGTTAATAACCTGCTGGAGCTGGATTGTCATGTGACAGGCTCACCTCCACCAACTATCATGTAAGGGTTTTGGTATGTCTTCAAAGCACTTCTGTTTTGCTAGGTGTTCTGAAATCATTAAAACTCTTTGGAAAGGCTGTGCCATGTAAAATTCAAAGTAAAACCATATTCCTCTTACTTATTTTTAATTTTATTTTATTGTAAAGATGCTGTACAGAGGAATTACATTTACATGAGTAAAGTACATTTCTCATTGAACACTGTTACCCACTCCATTGTTGTTCTCCCACTATCCCTTCCCTCCCTCCATTCCCACTACTCCCCACTCACGAAGTTGTAAAGGTCATTTCTGACATAGTGTCCTGGTCCTGTGAGTGTCCTTGCAACAGGTCATCTTTTGTACTTCTTTCTGCATTTTGTTATTCCCCTTCCTTCCCTTCTCCCAATCAGATAAATATACATATCTTTATACATATACAAGATGGAAGGTACCAGAATCAAAAACAGAGATTTCCAGGAATAAAACCAATGGAAAAAGAAAAATGAAATAAAATAAGAAGAAAGAACTAGATATAGTACATTGGCGATATCAAGGCTGACAACTAAAACAAACAAACCTGCTGTTTCCATGCCTTGGAGTTCATTTCAATTATCATCATTTTATATGGTCATGTAGCCTACACACACATACACACACACACACACACACACACAAAGAAACTTCTATGTGGTACTCAAAGAGTGCCTTAATTTCTTCAACTTGAGACATTCCTTTATATCATTGTAGATATTACTTTTTTTAAATGCTGGTGCTGGGGTTTGAACTTGGGGCCTAGGCACTGTCTTTGAGCCTTTTGTGCTCAAGGTTAGCATACTACCATTTGAGCCATACCTCCACTTCCAGAGTTTAGGTGCTTAGTTGTAGATAAGAATCTCATCAATTTTCTTGGAGTGCTTTGAGCCATG